GGCCAACTAATCCTTTTGAAAACCACAGTACTGCCTACTCTTTTCTACTTGACTATTTGTCTTTACCTCCATCCTTCTCATTAACACTTTTGACCAGTGTTTTCACTGCAGGGCTATAGGCAGTGACAATATTGTTTGCCTAAGTGCACAGGATGTTACAGAGTTACTGTAAAACAAAGTTACTAATTCTTCCTCTAATTTAAAAATTCTGTCAGAATATTCTGTAGGAAATACACCCATGCTGCAGCTGAGGAGTATTCTGACATATACAGAGTTTTAAAAAAAGTTTAGCTTTATTCAGTTTTTAAAATAAAACATTTTATGTTGTAAAAGGAAAGTTTTCTCCTCCCTGACAGGGATAAGTTAATGTTCCTTATTATCTTATGAAAAGCAGTATTCTTAATACATAGTCTTGGGGCACTACAAACTTATTGGAATAAATGGTCCTCTAAATATTCTGTTTGAATCACTCATTGGAGTATTTTGAATAAACTGTGTTTTGATGATCTCATTGAACAAATGATAAAGCAGTACATGAACAAAATAGCCTATAAAATGGGCTAAATTGTTGTTTACTATGGTCATGTCTTTTATGTGTAACTAGGGAGATGCAATTGTAAAGGAGAAATGCCCTCCTTTTAAAACAGTAGCTTCAGTCTTTTGAGATTTTTAATTGTATGTCATCTCCAAATTTTTTTTCTCCTCAAATCTCCTTATAAAATTTCAGGAATGAAGTTAGTGATAGGCATGAATGTTTGCACAGTCTTCTTGTGGGATATATTTGTGCATTTGCAGGTATATAAACTTTTCATAATTATGTGATAATAAATGTTATGATTAGGCATAGAACTTCCAACAGGTAGATTTTCCTTCCTTTGAAAAATATCTCTGGTTGTACTTGAATGCCAATTTTAAATGCTAGGAATATTATCATCAGGGAGGTATACAATGTAATAGGAAGACAAATGATTTTTACCAAAACTGCTAAGAAAACTGTCACTCTTGGCACAATGACTAGCCGCTTGCACAAAATTAAGAAGTCTCAACTCACAGCAAGTTTGGATGACTCATAAAATTCATGAGTCTTCAGAAATTATGCACCAAACATGACTGCCTGAGAATATTGCTTTCCTTCATGGTAACCATAAAAATTAAGCTGTCTCCTTGTTCCTAACTAGTGCAATAAGATGCACCAAATTAGAGTTTCTAAATGCAGGCAACTGTAATTTGTGATATAATTTACAGGCACAGCAGCTATTGCAGTTAAATTAATGTTTTACTTTGCATGGCTATTAGAACATGTAAATAGAGCATGATGACCACAGTAATAACTTTCATTTTAAGTGATTAGATTCAGGGCTAATTAATGGCCAGGTTCAAATTTTATATCATGCTTTTTTTTTTAACCTAATTGGATACTAATGTAAATCCAGTTTTATTTATGAGTATTTGAAAAATCTAGAAGTGTCTGGCATATGTTTTGTGCTGTATGTCTGAATGCATTTTACTTATGCATTTGGTGCAGATACTGGTTATAAAATCCTTGAAATACATTGTTTACCATATTTTGTAAAGGTTGTCAAAACAAAAAGCTGCTGGTTAGTTTGGTAAGTATTCAAATGTTCTTCTGCTAAAATATCCTCCTTTTGTAAATCATTGGGGAATGTGTGTAGACTTCTTGATTTTATTTGCTTGTTAAGTCAACTGGGTAAAAGGAAAAAAAATGGAGAAATTTATCTGTGAGTTTATACATAAATGTGTTTCTTTTCCACTTAAAGAAAAAATAGTCTTCTTTGGCCTTTTGAAAAGGGATAAAATCAGTATATCTTAGTTCAATAATAATTCCCTACTCATGGAATATAGATCTGATTCTTTTAAAATAATGGAAGGACAGCCATTTTTGATTAGCAACTTAAATATTTTTCCTGTCTCAAATAATTTTTAGTGTGGCCTATGAAACAATATGATAATTAGAGACACCAAAAATATTATTTCATTTTTTTAAAACAGTGAAACTCTTTCATTATATCAAACAATAAAAGCTGTCTGATGTAAGGAACCTAATATATCCAACCACTTCCCTGCAGGAGTTGCAATTTGTTATTTATTTTGTTTGTTAAAAAAAAGATACAATACAGTTAGCAACATGTTGAGAAATATAATGAAGTAGCATTGGAATGCTACAGGAAAAAAACATAAGTAAATACATATACAAAGAAAAAACCCATGATCTTATTTGTAATTTTAAGTTAAAATTTACTAAAAATTTTGTAATTCCCAAAGATATTTTACTATAAAATTCTATGTTATCAACAGCATTGTTTCCCCTTCAACACTCCTGCAAAGAACAGTGTATGCCCACAAATGTCTCTGATTAAACTATGAAAGTGTAATAACTAATTTTACATTTCACGAACACTTCAGAGGAAAATTTTTACTTGGGTCAAAGCATCATCCATTTGAAATAGATAAATGTGGTATCAACTATTTTCCTTCAATGGAAAAACTAAAATATGAGATGTAGTCAAAGGGAACACGTTTTTGTCAGTATCGTTTTCATTAGCACACTGGAATTGAGTTCATGCAGGTCACCCTGAATATATTCAAAAATTATGGAGGAGGTAATTATAACTGTCTGAATAGCTAGGTAGTATGAACAGATACAAAAGAGGTAGCCATGTAAAACTTTTAAATACAGTTAACAAGTTTATTCTCTACAGTGAGAGCCAAATTTTCATTAATAAATTTGACTTCAGGTATTTTAGATTAATATTAGAAATGTAAGACATTTAAAATTAATTATCTGTTTGGTTTTCTTCAAAAGTTGAACGCCTCATGTCTGTTTTCAGAAGAGAGGTGTCACTCCTGAAACTCAAGCATTTCCCTCCCTGGCCACAATCATCATCGTGCTAGCTCAGACACAGATAACCAGTTTTTAAACATCTAAGTCGGGAAGTGCATTGTCCTTTTTCTCCTACTCTTGTCACTTGCAACAATTTATCCAGATGCTAGCAAGCTTAAGTCCTAGAAAATTGTATATGGTCTGTACAGATCTGTTTGGAAAAGGTGTTTGAAAGTAATAACTAGAGCATGGTGAGCAGCTGCACAAAGAAAAATTGTGTGGGTAGATCTCATTCATTATTTACAAGCCTCATAGATTTCTAGTATGTAGTGAACTGACCCATGACCTTCATTCATTTATGCCTTTTAAAAAACATCAGTATATTGACAATAAATAAATCAGCTAATTGAATTTGTGCTAGCTCTCCACTCTCTAGGTCTAATCCAAAACTCAGGCAGCAATCACATCAGGTGGTGACGTTTTGTCCACCATAGATTAAATGAAAAGTGGCTCGCATTACATCAAATTTTGTCCACTATAATTCAAGTCACTATTTAGTTCCACCTTCTTGTGGAACAGCTTCCTTCATCCCCTCAGATAGGTAAAAACATTTACTTTAATAGCTTCAGATAAAATTAATTGGTTTTCATTTTTTTTATCTTCACTAAAAACAAGAAATTTTGAATAGCCATATGACCCAAACCCAAAATTGTTTCTATATCAAACAGAGACAATGTGATGCTTCAGCCTTTCAAAACTAATTTAAGAACAAAACTGAAATGTAAAATTCACAAAAATACATATTTCCTTAAAATTATTTAGGGTTTGAAAAACTGACATTTACAGAGAAAAAAAATCTACTGAAAACCTTCTGACATTTTTAAGTTCCCCTTGCTGCACTTATGTAGTGAGTCTACATGTCTAAGAACGGGAAGATTATTTTCTAGCTCACGTTAGCACATTGACACTAAATTAGTGGGCAGCAATTTCTTCACTTTTCTTATCTTCCTCTTGTGTAGAAACCCATGTTACTCAGAGTAATTTTATTTGTGAGTTCTCAGATGATTATTTTGATGTCATTGAAGTTTTGTGGTTCTTACATATCCTAATATTATTTTAATTATCTTCTTTTCTTCTCCTTCTTCTCCTTCTTCTTCTGTTTCTTTTAAAACCACAATATTAGTTTATCTCTGTCTCTTCTGGTATTCCAAAGGAGGTAAATATTCATCATTCCACATCAAGGTATCAGTCAAATACACAAAGGTCTTGAAGCTATTTTGGCCCCTTCAACCTTTCAACATTGACTCTGATTTACTTAAAAATTCAGTCCTAAGTAATCAATATATTCACCAAATGGATACTTTCAGGGGAAAAAAAAAAATTCTCATGAATAAGCATTTTCTGTACAAAGATGTGCCCGTGAAATATTTCTTGTGTTATACAGCCACTAATGTGTAAATGTCTCTTCTTTTGAAAGAAATAAAAGATGAATTGTCTTCATCTCTATAACAAACATTTCAAAAAGTTACATGTGAAAGAAAACAGAAAGTGGATAAAAATGTGGGTAACAACGTAAGGTAAAGCAGAAAAGTATAATGAAGCTTAATGTATGAGTAGAAAAAAACAATAGAAATGTAATTTTTAATAAAAAAATAATTTAAAAAATTAAAACAAAATTAATAGTAAAATAAATCTGTTGGAGAAAATATAATGAATAAAAGAATCTAAGCCTGCAATGCAATTCATGCTCCGTCCATGCATTTGCACAATAAGAAACATACATGTTTTCACTTGTTTTCTGTTTTATTGTTATTTTTAAATAAGACATAGATATAAAGAAGAATTTTTTTCTGTGAGGGTGATGAGGTACTGTAACAGGTTGCCCAGAGAAGTTCTGGATTCCCTGGAAGTGTTCAGGGCCAAGTTGTGTTGGGCTTTAAGCAACCTGGTATAGAGAAAGATGTCCCTGCCCATGGCAAGATGACTGGAACTAGATCATGCTGAAAGTCCCTTCCAACCTAAACCATTCTATGCTTCTGTGATTTTATGATACATGCAGTGACCTTGAAGACATGGCTGCATGTCTTTATATTGAAGCCTTCAGTCATTGTTTTTTGCTGCCATTCAAAGCAGGTTAACTCCCTCTGACATTATCTACCTGCATTTCATAAACAGCAGCTGGTGACAGGGAGTGCAGGTGTAGCACACAATGTCTGCATCTCCTCATGTTAACAGGAGCTTGCTTTTACTCAAACTGTAAAGAAAAAAAAACACATATTAACACAGATAGAACAAGGAAATTTTGTTTTTTCATCTAAGGTAAAGGGAAGATGTCAAATGTTGAATATTGTGCCTTGCCACTGACTACCTTTCGGTTCCTGAAAAACGCAGACTGCATAGACCACAATGTTTTTTGTATTTCTTATATTGGCAATACATGGTCCCAATCTTGTAAATGTAGAGTTAAGTGATGCCAATAACATTGTGGAAAATAACAGTCTTGTTCACAAATCTTCCATATTACCATAGGCATTTCTTATTATATTTCAACATTTAAAATAATTTAAAGAAAAATATCATATTCAAAAATTATCTGCACTCAGCAAAAAAAGTTGGAGCTGAGTGTTCAAGTGTGAACAGAAAACAGCAATGGCATCCAATTTGTAAAGCAAAACAAAGACCTCAGAGGCTGTACTGGGAGTTTGTGTTACTTTTCTTTGTGCTTTAAATAGTTTTCTACCTATTGGAAGTTTAAGATCTGTCAACTTTGTATTTCAGCATAAGTGTCAAAATCCATATCTTTAAATATACTAATGAGTACTTGTGGAAAAATGAAGGGGGCCAATACATACCATCTTTAACTTAATTTGTTACAGCAGAAGCTCTTTAAAAACATCTCTGTGATTGAGAATATTAACCTTCATTTCTGCATAAAGGGAAGCAATGAAGTTGTCATGGTTATTATAGTCCAATTTAAGGAGCAGTACCCTTGAAATATTTTGACTTACTGATGCTTTAATGAGATCAAAACCTACTGTATCTAGGTCTTGATTATACTTACAGCATTTTTCTTGGATATGCAGACATGAAGAATAATCACACCAATTTTACTGTACTATGCTTAGAATGAAATCACACTGACTTCTGTGTGAGGCATTTTCTGCACATTTATCAGTTCAGCAATTTAGAATCTGTCTAACAGTTATCTTCCTAGATGTAGTTGAGAGCAAACTATGACAATGATTGTCCCAAGAAGAATGATTTTAATTTCCTTTAGACAGATGGATGGGTTTTTTTGCAGGTGCTGAACATTTGTAGATGTCAGAAGCAGGCTTGTCAAAAAAAAACCCCTTTCAGATGTTTTTTATCTCTTCACAGAAACAGGAACTGCTGCATGTGTCTTCAAAGTGTCTCTGTAAGCCTGTGAGATGACTCAATATCCCCTACCCCCCATAATTATGATAAATTAAGATGTTTGTGAGATTAGATAGCAAATTTTAAATACAAAGTCAGATAAAAATACAAAGATGCATTTTATACTAGGGTTGATAAAATAGATACTATTGTAGTAAAGAAGGTAGTCTCATGGGAGGGCAGATAAACTCTGTATATTCTGATATACAAAGAGCATGTCCTCAACTTGACCATTGTTTTGTCTTTGTAGCTCCCTGTTCTGTTGCTAGCTCATTTTAAGGATTAATAATCAGGTGATTCACAAAAAAATTATTATTAAAGGTTTCTATTTACATTCCTCTTTCCTATAGTATATTAATGCTGGGAAATTTCCTGCTACCTTTTCTAAAGATAACATCTGCTTGCATTATAATCGATCATTTAACAAGCTTGTTTGAACAAACCATCTTTGATTTGTTATCTAGGATTTCCTATTTTTTAATTCTCTGCATATACCACTATGGGAAAATACATAACACAGGAACAATGGTTTTATAACAAGCTAATGCTAAACCTGGGTAAAGGTTATGAGTTATTTGTTGATTTCTTCCAGCAAGCATTGACATTTGAACTGCAAAACCCAAACCATACAGATGGTTATCTGTCATTTCAGTGAAAAGTGTAGCTGGCACCAGCTTTATTTATGCTGAATGTTCTTGGAAGAAATATTCCACATAATACAGTTACATAGAAATGATATTTTAAAAATTTTTCTCACTAAGTACCTTGCTCACCTACTTACCATCACAGTCTGACTGTGCTGTTGTTCCACAAAACTGTATCTAATGAAGTATTTAACAACTGGCTTTTATTCAACATTTTCCATTAACACGTCATGTATCATCTAGCAAATAAATTATGTAGTAAGTGTAATGCTGGTATATCCCCTTCCTCACATCAGATGAGCAGTGCTGTCCCTTAGACTAGCAGTCATGGTATAAATGAAGATTATGAGCTGAGGTTTACTATGGGCTGAGTATGATCAGACACCACTGACACATTTTAGTGTGTATCAAGAAGACCGGCCTTGCAGGGTGGCATACCTTATTAGCTTTCCTAGAGACATTGTTGTCTGCAAAAGGTCATCCTTCAGCAAATAAGGATGTCAAAACCAGTGATATCCACTTGAGTTTATTAAAAAAATAAATTTTAATTTTAGTAATTATGGTTATTAAGTAGGTTATTAAATAGGAGAATTACTTAAATTTCTGGATAGTTTATTTCTGCAAAGTTAAAAAATATTCAAGATAAATGGGAAAAACTTTTTAACTGTGTCTGTGAAAATAATTAAATAAACATGTTTAAAGAAAGCCCTCACAATGAGGGCTTAGCAAGAATTTTAAATTAATGCATTTTAGATATTTTCAGAAAAGAGATCTTAAGCCCTTGAGGAAACTGCTGTTAGCACCTTTCTCCTTTCAACTCAGTCTGCACTAAACATGATTTGTCACAGTGAGGACTTCAACCATAAAGTGATTGCTTTTAAAAATATAAAACCTCAAATGATCTTTCTGGGTTTTTTTAGATGGGAGAGTGACTTGAAGGCAAAAAGGGTTTTAAGCATTTGTTTTCAAGTTAAGACTATTTTATTTTTACTTGCAAATTTGATCTTGAGTTCTGATTCATTCTCACAGTACTTTGCTCTGTACAAAGTCCAGAAATGGTAAAACTATTTATTGCAGATTGTAACATTCTATATATCAGAAAGGTGGATTGGATGAAATTTGATACCAAATTTTCCCTTGAAAACTACTCAAAACAAAAAATAATATATTATTCAAATATTTATTGATAATAAAGAAAAGGCCTATTATGGCTTTTGGAAAGCATTAAAATTTCAAACTTATTTGCAAGAAAATCACAGAATGTGCATGGCATTATAATGTATTATACACTTACAGAAGGAAAAAAAAATAAAAGACAAAAAAATAGCCTCTTTTAACACTCAGGGCCAACCACTTGATTTAATTTCTACCAAAATACTTTAAATAGTTTCTTGATGGGTAAAATGTGCATCAGTTACACCAAGAAATTGAAATATTGATTAATAATTGAAAAGGATGGTATTATATGGCTAGGAATGTAACCACCACTTTCAATACCCTAATGAAATCTGAATTGTACCAAGGACTTTGTGCACAAGTGATGTATTGGCAATTTAAAAATGCAGAAATTAAAAATATCTCATCAATAAATTATTTAAAATTTCATATACTATTCAAAAGCTTTTGTCAAATATTCAGCTAATCACTAAATCAGTAAAACAGATGTACAGAAATATCACATTATGTCTATGTCTGCCGCTTTTTTTTTTTTTTCTATTAGTCAGAATGATTCTTACAACAAAATCTTTCATAGGAAGTGTTAAGGTAGAATGCTCATTGGAAGAGATTTTCTCACACCATGAAATCTTATTATTCAAATAAGTCTTATCGTGTTATTTCCTGATCACATTTTAAGCTCAGTGACATAGAAGTTACACTGCTCCCTTCTTTGTTTTCAGTTTTGCAAAGAAAGACAACAAAAGTGTTGGGTGTTTAGGGTTTTTTCCTCTGTAGGAATAAGGCAGAAATTCAAACCAATGATGCCATATAATTTTATAATGCTACATAATTATACAAAAAATAAAATACATATATATATATATATATAGGTAGTTCACTATATCTAAATAGAATGAACCAATGGGTATTCTTGAAATTTGACAGTGTGATCTCTGAGGTGTTAGCTGTTACTCCTTAAAAAAACATTATATAGTCACTAATATCTATAAGAATGTTTTGCACATTAACATTCAGTTCTGTGAGATGAGAAATCTAATGCTGATATTTTCTGACAGCAATACATGAGCTGGAGCTTATTTTTGAAAGGGGCAAGGCAGCAACCTCTAGGTGACCCTGTTTGAGCAAAGGGCCATCTACACATGAGTCTTCTAACCTCAGATATTTTGCCATACATGAACAGTTTTGATTTAAAGACCAGGGTGAATTCAGTAGTGCAAGCATCTGCCTTTTTCCTTTTCCTTTCTTCTTCTACCTCACCTGACAACTATTCATGAACCATTACCCACTCCTGCATCCTCATTGTTGGGCTGCATATTGCCTTGCTCTTGTGCACAGGGCACTGATTTTTCATCACAGGAACTGATAAATTAGGGGTGAAAACCCACCTTCAAGGCCTCAAGACCAAACCTATCTGCACTGGATGAACAACAGTGGGTTGCATCCCAGCAGGTTTTCCTTCAGAAAACCTTTACCTCCTCTCTCCCACAGCTTGCTCCCACCTGTCCAGTTGCAAGAACCTATGGGTCCTGCACAGGGGCTGTTTGGAGCAGCCCCTGTCCAGCTCCATCTGGTCCAGCAAGGGTGGGGGAAGGGTAGACAGTGAGCTGAACACAAGCCAGCACAAGCCACCCTTTAGCAAAGCGGTCCAAGGGTTTTCTGGGCTGCATAAGGCAGTAAGGCTTGGAAGATTGCTTGGAACTGAATCTGCTGAGGGATGCCACAGGCAACAAGGGCTTCTCTAAATGTCTAAATGGCAAAGACCAGGGAAAAGGTGAGCCCATTGCTGAATAGGGCAGGAGATATGTTGCCTTGGCTTCAGTGATAAAGCAGAGGTGAAAACTCACCTGCAAGATACCAAAACCTTTTGCACAGCAGCCTTTCCCTCTTTGGGGTATCTGCTTTCCTGGCTGGGTGGCAGACAGTAAACAGTTCTTTGGAACACTGGGACATCATGAAGTTTACTGTGACATCACCCCAACCTTGCTGGTTTCCAGAAGCCACAGGCTCTATCTCCTGGCACTCTGTCCAGGACTCCTGCAGGCACACACGCAAGGTGAGCAGGCTTCAGAAGGATCAGAGTCTTGCCCTTTAATCTTTGGCTTGTAAGAGAGCAGCAGCTCCAGGCACTGAGCAAAGGCAGACTCTTCCAATCTCCTCTCCTGTCTGCCCAGTCGTGAGGCCCTGTGGGTCCTGCACAGGAGCTGTCCTGGAGCTGTGAGTGCCAGGAGGGTGCTGGGGCTCTCCAGCACTGAAGGCTCTCTGCCTTTCCCTACCGAGTCCTTCAGGTACCCTGTGCTAAACACAGTCTGTGAGACTTTATGAGGTCTTCGGGGAGTTGGACACCGCAGGTCCTCCCCCCCAGGGCCTCCTGACAGCTCTCTAGAACCTGCCCCAGGGCTCCCAGACATCTAGCTTGAGGTCTGGGGACACGTAGAGACCTGGCCTTCCTTTCCTGTTCTCCCTCCCTCTCTACCTCCTGCCATGGAGCAGAAGGGTCTGTCCAGCCTCCTTCCAGGTCCCAGTGGGAGCCTTTCCAACCTAGGGCCACATGGGCTGTTCATGTCTGCCTTTCCCTGATGCACAGACAGGTTTCCCCAGCACCTCAACATTCAGTGATGCCTGCTTGCCTATGGGCAGTAAGGGCAGAAGGCAGGGGTGCAGTGCTGTCCTTGGGCTAGCTCGCCCCCGGGCACCTGCTGCTTTTTCTGCTGATGCTGCTTTGAAGCCCAGAAAGTGACCCCTTCAGGAGACCCTGATGTTCCCTATCCCACAGCCTGCTTGGGCTTTCCTTGTTTTTCCCCTCTGAGCAGCAGAGAAAGCCAGACACCCAGGGACTTTGCATGTCTCCCTCTCCAGGACTGGGTGTGGGGCACTGAGGAAGCCCTGGAGAAGAGACTGCTACAAGGGGCAGCATGAGCCGGCTGCCGCCAGCAGGCCCGTCGGAAACAGCAGCAGCAGAAGGCCTATGCCCCATCTGCCTGAGTGACCTTGAAAACGCCACCTGTGTGGAGGTCTGTCGGCATCGCTTCTGCTTCGTCTGTATTCGTGAATGGGCCAAGCTGACAGAGAGCTGCCCACTGTGCAAGCAGCCCTTCAAGCGGCTGCTGTGCACTGCGGGCAGCAGCCACAAGGAACAGGCAGCTGCCCGGCCTGCCCGCCGCCAAAGACAGGCGGCCAGGATCCGGAGCAGATCCCCACAGCAGCACAACTCCCTGAGTCGCAGGCGTGCTGACACCCAGCGCTCCCCGGGGAGAAGGGGGACAGAGGGGACACACCGAGTGCAGAGGGAGCCGGTGGCTGTGCTGTCCTGCGATGCCACTTCACAGCAGGCTGCTGCAGCCAGCACTTCTCATGAGGGAACGCCACCGAGCGCAAGGGAGCACCTGGCTAGCCCTGCTGCTACACCAGACAGGGCTGCTTCAGATCCTACAACAATCTGACTGTTTTCACCTGCAATAAACAGCCAGGTGCTTTCAGTTTTGGAATGTGTATCATGATTTCAATCAGTTTTAACTGCTGCAACAGAAGATGTTTCTCTCCTGCTTTCCCAGCTTCCCAGTTCCAAATACCAGGATGGGGCATGGTCCAAGGCCTTTGCCCAGCAGCCGCTCCAGCTGGTGCCTCTGCACCCTAATGCTCCTGGGCTTCTTTAGGCGCTACTCTCAGTCCATCTCTGACAGCAGCAGCTGAAAGTACTCCCACCCAAGTCCCCATGGCTGTGGCTGGCAGACAGGAGGGAGCTTGTTATATTTTTCTGTCTAAATGGTCTCTGGGAATGGGAGTTTAAAAGCTGTATTAGAGAGTCTGTATTGAAGGGAAGCCTGGATGGCCTATTTCCAGTAAGAAATTTGGGGTAAATCCACACGAAGTAGCTTTGGCTACTTTCTTCACCATGGGAAGTCACACACAGATACAGAAGTGCCCTGAACAGCAAGGTTTAAGGATCAATCCACAAACTATCCAAAATTACCTATGAGCCATTTTTAAGGGATGGAAACATGCCAGCAGTGACACAGAAACTAAACTGTAAACCACAAGGATACACAATGCACAATTTTCCTGGTTATCCCACAAGACTCCCAAGGCACGGACAGTGGCTCAGCATTGGCACTCACCCGGCCAACCCCAGTGACCAAGTCTGAAGCAAGCTGTCCCTGGGGTTTTGTCTGGTCCAGGAACAGCCCAGCTCCTTCAGCCTCAGAGCCAGGCATGTGCCAAAGCAGCTCTGCAGTCGGGGTCCTGTGGGACAGCAAGCAGCAAAGGACTGTATTCCATGTCTATTTCACATGGAGGTGATTGGTGAAAGGTTGGATTCAGTGACCTTGGAGGTATTTTCCATCCTAAATGATTCTGTGATTCTGTGATTTCTACCAATTAACAACTGATAGAAATAAGGTGGGAAAATTAAATATTTTCTGTTTACTAAGGAAAGGTGATTTTCTTAGGAATATTGCAAGATAAATATTTCATTCTTTTACTGTCTCCTTACTGCAGGGTCTACCAAAGAGTAACAGGGAAGACATCCTCTTTCATAAAAAAGTCATGGTTTATGATGCATAGGTTTGAGAGAATCAGACCTGCAAATATGGAGAAATTAAATTAAATATATTCTTACTTTTGTCAGCATAACATGTTGTACTAGAATGTGTGGTTTCAATGGTGTTACTGCCAATTCAAAGCTCAGTAGTGATTTGGGCTTGTTATAAATTATAGAACCACAGATACAATAGACCAGATATCTGATGTTATTTCCAAGTTGTGTTAGCACATATCTCACCCTCTAAGTTTACTGACTAACACATAGTTGGAAGTAGATTTGATCAAAAGTATCATCGAAAAAGTTATATCTCATTTCTCATATAAGAAATCTCCTAACAAAAAGCAATTTTGCCAAATGTTTAACAAGCAAGGGTTAAGGTCTACAAAAGAAATATCAGTTCACCACTGTTTTTTACTGTCATAGCTGATACTATATAATGATATAGTATCAGCTATATATGATAGTATCATATATAGATATATGATACTATATAAGCTTATTATACAGGGAGAATATTTTTTAAAATGTTTCTTCTAACAATCTGAAAAATTGGAATAACTTGAAAAACCCCACAAATAAATAAACTAACCCCCCAAAAATTATGCTTCTCAAAGCAACATTAATCTGCAAATGGGTTGCATTTGATTTTTTTGTGTCTATAGAAAGGAAGAAGAAAATTAATTTTAATTACACTCAGATGTTTGTACTTGAACTCACACACTGGGAGTAGACTCCCAGTGATACAATCAGCATACTCTGATAACATGCAATGCCTTGGTAAGAATGTTCAAATAACTTCTCTGCGCAAATGGTCATGAAGAGTACAGGTATTTTTGTGTACACATTTCAATATGCATCAGGTTGACTAAGAGCTAAAATGCTGCTATCAGTTATATGAAAGAGCTTGTAGACAACTTGTTTCTCACCTTTTCATTTTTATTTGTAAAACAGAGCAAACTCTTTAGAGCTGAGAGAGCTTCATATTTGGAACACACCAGGAAAAAATCAACTTAGATTATACAAATCTGTTAATAAAATCACAGAGTAGCCCAGGCTTGATGGCTTTTAAAAATATCACCTGCCTTTTGTAGGAAAGAGAGACTAGAAGAGTCCTTGTAGCACCCCCTGAGGATGTTGTTCCAGTAAATGATTGTTCCTCCAATAAAAATACTCTCCCAGTGCAACTTGTACTCATTGCCTTTGTCTTCTCTGCATGGCTCCTCGTGAAGAGAGACCCTTCTCTTTGTAGCTGCCCTTTGAGTCCTGGAATACTGTGCTCATGAGCCTTCTCCATTGAGGTGGGATCTAGATCCTAGAGTGTTTCCTCACAGGCCAGGTTCACCAGCTCTTTGATCATCTGTGTGATTCTCCTTTGGGAATTCTCCAGTCTGTCTGCATTTTTCTTCAATTGTGAAAACCAGAACTGAACACAATACTCCAAATGAGGTCTGAAAAGATCTGAGTGGAAAGATAACTTTAATTCTGCTAGTAGTGTCCCTGTGAATGCAGCCTGGGAGATGGTTTTTTACATGACCCATCAATTGAGCTCCCCAGAAAATCCATGAAATGACAACCAAATCATTGTTTTCTTTTCTTTCTCTAATGTTAGAAAACACATAAAGAATTACCAATTTTAGTCCAGGTACTTTTCTTACTATGGTAACTTCTTTTATTTCTTTCATTTATCTGACACACTCAAATTATAAATAAGAGTTCCATCATTATGCTAAAAGGTCTAGGCAGGTCTTCTGTACTATGATTATTCTTACAGTATCAAACCTGGCTGGAACAGCTGTGACTAAAAGTAATTTTATAAAAGCCAAAATGTTTCCTGAGAGTAACATTGGTTTCAATGAATTTTTCAAAGGAATGTTGTCTGCAGTCAAGAGCTTCCTGGTCACCTCTAATGAGAAAGAGTGAGAAAAAGAGATGAATTAAAAACCTCAGTTATTATTTTGACCAAAAAATCAATTTTTGACAGAATACCAGTGTCAAAAGAACATTTTTGGCCATTCCAATGTGGAATAGAAAGAAAGTTTGAGGTTTTAAAAGTTCTTTTTCTGCCAAGCACTCTGCCACATTAGAATGACACTTACTGAGAACCATGGTTTCCAGAATACTAGTTCATGGTTCAGTGAAACAAGTCTTTTGTGCCGTGGGTTGTCTTGAGATACAAAGAACAATCTATACTTTGATACCTGTAACCAAAAACTATAAAATAACTGAAAGTGAGTGCAGAAAATAAACTATGAATTTCATATTAAGGGTTATTTATATACTGTCTGTTACCAAGGAGAACTGCACAAAAATCCACAGCCATTGCTCCATTCTGGGGTTAACTTCAAGTTCTAATGCAAAAAAAAAAAACCAAAAAAACCCAAAAGGCAAAGCTTCACAGGCTGAGCTTCACTTGTCTGCTGTTACTGAGCAAAGTGATATAATTTAAAAATTCTGAGAAAATATTCAGAAGAATATTTACATTTTAATATTCTAGTAAATGGTTTTGTTGTACAGATTCCCACGGAGACTTACAGGTGTAGGGGATTTGATGGGCTGCAACTAAGTAAACTGAGGGAATTGAAAAAGGTCCTTGTGGAAGCACTCCATCATTTTTGAAAGAACAAGCCTCTGCTGACTGAAGAAATGCAAATGCTGCATCCACCTTGATAAAAGGGGCAAACTCACAATCTGGGAAATCAGAGATGAGTCTGTTTTATTCAGTCCAGCAGTAAATTCCCTCTGATTAACATGATTATCTTCTATGACAACCAGATTGGCAATGTGATTGAAGAGAGAGAAGGGGATATAATTTACCTTATGTGACTGAAGGGGAAACAAGGGATATCATTTACCCCAACTCCTATAACATTGTTGTATTCAGATTAGGAAGGTCCAAGCAAGTTTTAGATTGATGGACCAGATGGCTGCACAACCCATCTGTTTGGATGACTGGACTCAGAGGGTAGTGGTTAATGAGTTGTCCTCTACCCAGAGACTAGTAGCAAGTGGGGTAATGCAGAAATCTACTCTGTGGGACCAGTCTTGTGTAACAACTTCATGATTGGTGAGGTGACAGAGTGCAGTCTCATCAAGCTTGCAAATGACACCACACTGGGGTAGCTAGTCCATGTGCTTGAGGGTAGAGCAAAGGGACCTACACAGGCTGGAAGAATGGGCCACAAGGAATCTCACAAAGTACAAGGACAAATTAAAAATGTTACACTTGGGCAGGAAGAACTCCTTGAAATGACATAGAGGACTGAAGACTGGTGAGCAGCTCTGGCAGACAGCAAGTAGTGCATGAGTAAGCAGTGCTCTAGCACCAAGGAGAGCCAGCAGTCTCCTAAGCTCTATCAGAGTTGAGACAACTCATAGAGGGACTGATACTGAGTTTTGATCAGTCCAGAGCAGGTAATACATTGTTAAATAGGAAGACGCTCAGAGGTAGAGCAAAATCTAAATGTCTTTTACCTTATAAAGGTTCATAAAAGGCCAAAGTGTATTCTGCACAACATGGCTGGTCAGTCAGCATGAACAATAATACCACCTGCTGTGCTTGGCTGACTCTTAGCCTATACTCATTGCTTTATAGTGAAGCCCCCAGATTGATAAGAGTAAAATTGTTCCATAAAAACTATATTAATGCAAAAGCTAACTTTGTCTGGAAAATAGCACTAATGGAATTAATGATAGAAAAGCAGTGAGAAATTCTTTGTGCTTTATTTCTGGCAACTGGGACTTGATTGATTCTTGTGGCACCACTGCACTGACTCCCTTGCATTACTACCTCATGGAAGCGTGTCAGGCCTCCTCCAGCATGGGGTCTGAGGGAGGGAAGGAGAGAAGGAGGGAAGGAAGGAAGGATCCTTCTGTACATACTGCTCTCAAGGCCCATCCTTTGAACTGCAATTGTTTTGATGTATGAAGAGTAAAGAGGAGGACTAG